ATATATATATATATATATATATATATATATATATATATAAAAGTATAATGTTCTATTAAAACTCATTTTCTTTACTTATTTACACGTTAAATTAAATGTATAATTTTATAGAAAAATTAATAAATATCTTACTTATGATCGAATTCGTATAACGTCTCGCTATGCAATCATATTTTTCCACAATAGCAATTTCATTTTCATCTTTTATCTTATTATGTTTATGTTGAAGCTGTATTAATAAATCCTTGACCTATTCCATCAATTTCTTATACTGGTTTTGCATATATTAAAAAACACTATTGATTATAAAAATTTAAGAAAAAATTTTATTTAACAAATATTTCGAAGCTGTGAACTTACAACTTCAATATTAAAACGGAACCAGAAATAATTTGTTATGAACATTGTAAAGAATGATGCGGAAGACAATACTTTGGCGATGAGATATGAAGTATGTTTTAATGTTATTAATGGTGTCACCTACAAATAGTATTTATTTAATTTTATGTAAGAATTTAGACTTAGATATTGCGATATACTTGATAAATTAAATTAGATTGCTTAATTATAATAATAGCAAAAGTTTTGTTCCTTGTAATTATAATAATATTGTTATGTTCTTTTGTTACCTGAAATATAACAAATGTCGACAGAATGACAGAGAAGAAAATAAATTGAAGTCGTGTGAATTCAGATTGTTGATAAGGCCATAAACCGATAACAAGAAATTGAAATTTAATGAAAGTACAAAATCGAATTTCCGGAGAAATCATCTCTCTGCAAGATCTAAAATGTTACTGCAATGATATCGACGACTATACTTACCTTCTCCTTTTCTTATGGCTTAATTAATTCCATATCGTCTTTTTTCTAGTGTAATTGAAACGCAAATCTTCTAATTTACTATAATATTGCACTATTATGAAAAAATTTACTATGAAAGTCAAGCATGCTCATTTTATACATTTTCAACGAATTATTCATGTTTTACGTAATTACTTTGCTAGCGACAATAATTTGACAGATGGGCATTTCTCAAGTAATTGAACTGTCTATAGAATAATATCACAGGCATATTTCTTTCTTTTAGCATTGAAATTTTATTTTAATACACGCTTTTTGTGAAATGCACTTAATTTGGAGACGAATTCTTTTATCGTAACTTTCTTATCGTCGCATTGTTTCTTATAAATTTTATTTATAAGATATTTAAATATGACTGTATCGATTTAACGTGATATTATTATATTTTAAGTTAAAAATCACAATTTATATTTTTAGCAAATGTTAAATACTGATGCCTTAACTATTTAATAACAATTATCTTTAATATTTACTATTAGTCGTATTTATAACATATTATAATATTTATTTTTGGTATATTATTTAAAGCTCTAAGTTAAAGTTCTTAAAATTGTTGATATATAATTCATAAATTATTTAAGAATATTGAATATTGTTCAATATATTGGTCACAAATTATGGAAATCAACTCTTTTGAAAATAAGCTAATGTAAATAATAATTAACGTTTGTGTACGTACATTATTGTTTATTGTTTTAAATTATATCATATGAAATATCTGATTGTAATATATTATTAGAAGTATAGTATATTATTAGAAGCTTGATAATTTCATCTTACATTGTGGTCAAAATAATCTCTTTTAAAATATATATAAAAAAATATAAGTAACTTGATCTCGCAAAAGTGCACTAAGTACGTAAAAATGCCTAAAGAATAGAAAAAAGATGCTGATAGTGACATAAATTTTTTAAAGAGACATTCTTTTACTTCTCGGAAATTAAAGATTGCACTTTATTAATATTGATAAAAGCATGATCTTTTTAAATGTTTAAAGAAATAAAAATCAATAATTTGGCTTGTTTCTATGTAAAATCAGCTAAAAGCAAATTTTTCAAATGCTTACAAATTTTTTGACAATTTACGTAATTTAAATAATAGTAAGTCTGAGTTGATATTATTGATAATATTAGTTATTTTACATGTTTGTAACTTCTTATAATTATTTCATTTATATTTTTTCCTTTCTTATGTTTTCCATATAATTTTTTAAATATATTGATTTTAAATATAAAATATAAAATCAGAAATATAATGTAAAGAGCTCTTGATAAGATAGATGCTATATAAAAATTAGCTATAAAAATTGGATGATAACTTAATCTAATGTAATCTATGATTATGCTATATTTTGCTTATATTTTACAGAGTAAAAAGAAAAACAAAGTTTACTAATTTATTTTATTATTAACTACTTCAATATGGGGGTCACATCTGAATTTCTCGCAACATTGCTTATTTCAGTTTTGAGGCACAGTATTTCAAACGCTCATTTTTGGTTATGCAGATTACGAAAAAATTAAGTATTGCAAAATACAAAACAATAAACAATTATAAAAGTTATATACATGTCATCCGATAAAAGACATTTTCTAGACATTTTCATTTTTATATTTATGTTTCTAAAGTTTCATATTTAGTTTTTATTTAAGAAATATAATCTAAACACGAAGTGTTTTAATAATATCGGCGACTTTTCCCTATTAATTTTTACAAGTTACAGGAATTTTTAATAATATATTGATTTAAATAATTTTTATTTACATTTCATTTATAAGGATAAATATTGAATTCATCTGCATATTTAAAACTTTTTATTTTGTAAGCAGAAATACTATCATCTTTCCGATGAATATATCTTTACTATATTGATACTACATTATATATTATACTACCTATACTTATTCCGTCATTGTATTGAATATATAACAGTAAAGTATGATGCCGAAGTCTTTAGTAGCTGCAATAAAAAAACTTCTTATTTATGATCTATCTATATAAAATGTTGTTGAAATATTTTATATCACCGTGGCAAAATACTCCAGAGACATATGAAACAGTCCAGCAATGGTTATACTATATTCTTTAACTCCTTTTTGCAACAAAAATAATATTATCTTCTGTATATATAATGGAGCTTCATACCATTGAACATTATATCTGTAAAATTATAAGTATCAAAATAGATAAGAAAACATTTAAGATAAGAATATTTTATTAATCAATATCAATATTTTTGCATTAATTTCTAAATTAATATTCTGCATAAGCATTTATTTAATAATCCTTTATTTAATAATCCTAAAAATGATATTCATAAAATTTATCTTGTACAATATTTCTTGTACAATATTTCTTACACAGTAACAAATACATGTTTATTGTGTTCTAATATATTTTGTCCCATGTAATTGCTTAGAAACATGTATAAAATGATAAGAAACACATAACAAGACGACAGCAATAATTCTTTAACATTATTTGTAAACGATGCAATCTAAAAAAATAAATTTTATGGGAGTTATCAATCTCTTGTGTTTTTACATTTTATGAATATATACATAATATATAAGTTATTTTTATTTTTAAAGCTACGATTACAAATAAATTATTAAAAAATCGATAAACTTATTATAAAACATGGATTATATTGCATTTGTCACTTTGTATATTATTCATAATGGTTATTGAAGGTTTTTATAATTTATTTGTAACCGAATATGTTTATTTGTAACTCTAAAAATAAAAAGAACTTACTATGTATTAAATATATTCATAATTCCATTATTTACTCAGAATTATGATTGAAAAATTTGTCAATTTTTGTTATCTTTACTAAACAGATACTATCAATACACAAAGTTTTAAAACAACTTTTATACATTTTGATATAAAATAAAAAACTTACTTGATACAGATTGAGACTCAAAGCAATTACTCCACACACCATTAAACAAATTACCATTATTTTAATTGCGGATTGGAAACGTTTGAACAATCTTAAAAAAATAATTAAAATAATATTATTACATCTAGTATACACTCACACATACACATATTATTGACGTAAATACAAACTTTAGAGCTTGCCGATGAATATTCACAGCGCAAATTATGCCGTTATATGTAAAAGTGCTACCTTCCATGGTAATATTTTGTAGAACTTTAATATTCATTGCATTCTCAATACGATAACTATAAATGTGTATATTGTAATTATATTGCAACATTAAATAATGCAGTTAATCTTTTCTTGACAAAATATTTTTTTTAAAATAATCAATTTTTTATTGTTTAAACTGCTACTATTTTCTATATTTATATTCGTACCTAGCAATTCTAAATATTCCACAGGTATGCAAAGTATATGTAATAAACATTGAACTTATTGCTAATGTTATAATTATTCCAATGCACGCAGCTACATTTACGTGCAACAGAGTCAAATAAAAAGTTTTTTCTTGATTAATAAAATATTCCATCATGATCGGTAATTGATATAATTGAGATGCATTTATCGATAAATCAACATTAATTATTAACCACATATCAATTATAAGACCAAAAAATATTCCAGAAACTGCAATTGCTAAGAAACATTACATTGTTATATAAATTTCTAGCGCAAGACATTATAAAATTGTTTTATGTATGCTGTACGCATGTATTGTAAAATATAATATTCTTTTGGCTGCAATCAAATTTTATTACATAATTGAAAACAATATTATTTTATTTCAATTATAAACACATTTAATATTTGTTACAAGTATACATATATAACAATTGTTGAAACAAATTCATTTAAATTATATATACAAGATATCCGATAGTAATCATATCATTTCTTGTGGATAAGTAAAGCAGACCATATTGAATAAAAAATTCCTGTATTACTTTATGATTTTCGCAATAATCAAAGAATTATTAATTTATGCAGATCTGCAGATAAACAAGCTTTCACCTGAAAAGATAGTTCGATTGCTAGATATGCGGCAATATGTTGAACACTATAAACAAATATCCTATCAAATCACATTAAAATATTTTACTGTCTCTAGTGAATGTCGATAATATTGGATCGTCCTTTGCACAAACGCTCGCTCATTCGCGGAACTGTATAAATTAATAACTTTTTAATTATTGTAAAAATCTCAAAACAGAACTTTTCTATTCAATACAATTCATTCTACTTATCCATGAGAGATAATACGATTATTACTGGACACTCTGTATATAAGTATATACACGAAAGTATATATACGATATTATATCCTGCTAAAATTGATTTTGTTTTTAATTTATTTAAATATATCATTAAATATATCATTTTATATAAAAGTTAATAAATATTGCCTTACTTGTAAACGAATTCGTAAATCGTTTCGCAATGCAATCATATTTTTCTATGATAGCAATTTCATTCTCATCCTTTATCTCATTATACATATGCTGAAGTTGCATCAGTAAATCCTTTACCTATCAATTTCTTATACTGTCTTTGTATATATTAAAAATATTTTTTATTATAAAAACTTAGAAGAAGTTCATTTTATTTGAGAAATATTTTTTAAACTATAAACTTACGATTTCAATATTAAGGCGGAACGAAATATATTTTGACATAAGCATTATAAAGATTGTTACAGAAGACAATACTTTAGCAACGAGATTTGTAGTACATTTTAACGTTGTTAATGTTGTGAGCTGCAAATAACTGTGTTTACTTAATTTCATATAAAATTTGAAAATAATTGTG